AAAGCCGCAAAATCTCTGGAGAACTTGAACATTGACTGGGAGTCGTGCCAGAGTAAATATGGCAATATTTTAGATCGCTTTGTAAATCACTATTTACCTTTGATCGGCGGCCATATTTAACTTTCTGCGCTAAACACTGGCGCCAATTTTGTGAGGTCATCATATCAGAAAATATCCGGATTCAACCCTCCACACGTATCCAAAATGTTATCGGATTAAAAAATTTCCACACTGGAGAGCGGATTAAAAAATATCCGGATTTGCTTGCGAATTCGCCGGATACGTGTGGACGATAGCTGTATCCGGGAAGAAAAAGTTGCGGATTCAAAAATATACGGATACGTGTGGACGGGGCCTAAAGTGTTGCGAAAATTTCATGTAGTTGTTTAATAATAATAATCTTTATTTAGCAATAGTTTTCGTAAAATCCTGTACAATACAAAACATTAACAGCGTAAAAAACGATCCAAAATAACTCACTTTCGGCTCACATCTACTCCTTTTTTTAATGCCAAAGTGTCTGGAAAACTATGAATAACGGAGTCAAATCTGAACAGATTCAAAGTCTAATAATGTAGTTGTTTTGATTTATTCATGCATGTCGACATAAGCAAAATTTTCACGGGAATTTTAATGGTTTCTTTGTTACGTTTAGCACAGTTTTCACACCTTACCTTTGAAGAGTGTCATTCCAAACTTTGTGGCATGTTTGGTATTCCTCGGAATGGCATTTCTTTCATTAAATTAATTTCCTCTTCAGACAACATCGACAAAGCGCGAGGCGGCCATTTTGAAACTATAATCACCTCGCCGGAGGTGATTATAACAGAATATGAGGCCATTCTCAGCCAGTAAGAGCGCGAGAATTTCTATAATCACCTGAGTAATTATACTAATTTGATATATGCGGTAACATGACAGCTCAGAGGCAATTCAGTACGGATATATATACGGACTGAATTACTAAATATTGAATTATTTCCAAGTAATATAAATGTCTAGCCTTGCGTTTGGTCTCTTTACTTCTATACTGGAAAAGAAACCAACTATAAGTTTAAGCAGTTAATTCAGGTTTTTCAAAATTTGAAACATTTTCAGCCATCGATGGACAGAAACTTAATTGAAGAGCTTGGTGTGATAGCTTTCATCATCATTTATATCCTTGACTCTTATGATAAACAATAAATTGTGACCCCCCTTAAACAAGGATTAAGTACTGCCATTTGAAAAAACATTCGAAGTCATATACTAAGAGAAGATATAGGCCTGTTATCGAAATAGTCTTATCAAATAAATTAAAGAAAAATAGAATAATAGCGGATTTTTTCCTTGAAGAAGTACAGTGGCAAATTGTAAAGAGATAATATTGAGTTCATAGGGACGTACGTATTCTCCCTTTCAAATCCGCTGAGTAAATGTGGTTTCTACTTTTTTAGGTTTAGTAGTTTTCAGGGTCAATGGCGGGGAAGCTACTTCCCTCTTAAATGAAATAAAAACGATTTTCTCACCACTTGCATAGCAATCTCACAGGAAATTGTCAGCGGATAGCTCCATTGCAGACGAGCACTGGGTGTCTACGAGGTAAAGCATAGCGGTTAACTAGGGAATTCAAGTGTTGAAAAGCTGATTAGAATCCGAGGACGCTTCTCCGTTTTGTAACGAACATTAAGCCGGGATCAATACTTGTTGAAGTTACCGCTGTTGGCTCGGCTGATTCCTGCAGCGTATCAAGAAATGGTCTATTGTACCGGCTCAACTTCTCACATTAAGTATTAAACAATCGTCTTTTTGTTCCATGTAGCGCTGAGGGACCTTGGCCGAAACGACGCGAAGAGGTTCGTGACTAATCGGAAAAAACTGAGGCATGATAATTTAGCTACATTGGGGGAGTGGGTAGCGTATATTTGCACTCGACAGGTAAATTGTCACCTGAGTACCCCAGGGGAAAATTAGATAATTGATAGGTGCAGGAGACGACCTTTCTTTTTGTTTTCAATCAGGCGTGTGGCATTTTATTAAAAATAATATAACATTACATTGAGGTAATTAAAAGAATCACATGACACATGTTATGTAAATCTCTCCTCAAAAAGCTAACATAGTTTTAAACTGAATTCCAACAAACACCTTGTTAAACGATGCTATTTTTCCTAGTTTTCGCACGGCGCGCGTTTTTGTTTTTAGTCGAGCGCGCGGCATTTTATAAAGAATGTGACACTTTTCTTGTTTGAATAGATAACAGTCAACAATCCACGTTGAAATATACTGTTTAAAATATGTTTTGTAGTTTACGCGCGTATTATGGCACTATTTGTTTGTTTTGATCGAGCGCGAAGCGAAAACTGTCAGATTTAAACACGAAGTCGCGCTATAAAAGGAGCCTCAGGTCCCACTGGACCATTTGTCAATCAACCGTCGTGTGATGTAGAACTCTTAGAGTCAAGTCAGCGTGAGCTACAGCTACTCCAAAGCAGTGAACAGCGGGCGCATTCCTCAAAATTGTTTTATGTCTTCATCACAATACAAGAATTTTTGAAATTTGTATTTCCTTTCTCCAATAAAAACTGTCTTTATTTGTGGCGGTAAATTTGAGATCGAAGTAGGTGGTGTTACTGCCAAAAGGCATGTCCTTTCGTGGCCGCTTACAGCAATGATTTCAAACGCTCGACAGAGGAAGAGGTTTGAACTAATAAAGAACCAACAAAAATACAAGTTTACAAAATGCAGAAATATAAAACTGAAAGGCGGCTAAAGCGAACGCGATGAACATAATAACTAGGAACTTACATTGTATCGGCGCTGTAGGCCGCGAAAAAAGGGCAACTAAACCAGATGTTCTCTCGGTGAAATCAACGATGGAACTAAAAAGCTAGAATATTACAACATGTAAATTATAGCGAACGCGGGAAAGAAAAACAAAACGTATTCCCGAGGGAATGCTAATAAAGTGAAATAGAATGCAAAGAATGCTAAATTCTACAGGTGGTTCGAACGTTACCTCGCGCCACACCATGCTGGTGGAAGTAAACAATAGATATCTCATTAGCTCCTTTTGTTCGTCTACCAGTATTTAAATTTCACCCGCAGACGTCAACGGTGAGAGACAAATGAGCCTAGGTCTTCCCAGGGAAGACTTCCTTTTATAGCGCGCCTTCGAGTTTAAGCCAAACTCTAAAACACTCGTTGTGAAATTCTGCTCAATATAGCTCTTTCAGTTTTCAAAGTGCACGCGCATTGTTTCTATCTTTCTTCAACCAAGCGCGCAGTACGCAACAAAGTAGCCTGCGTACAGCCGCCCCCTCTTTGGTCTCGCTCGCAAACAAATCCGTCTGCAACAGATTTACGCATTAACATGCACACATCAGCGTAAATTACAATATGTCTACAACTGTTTTCACAGTTTTGCACTGAACTCACGCATTTATAAGTACGAGGACAAATGGTAGACAGTAATTAGATACTCGTTTTATAACACCTTGGCGCTTTATTGAAGAGATGTTTTTGGACGTGGCATTTCGCAGGTTACTGCACGCAAATACTTTTGAGTGAAAAAGTGTACACTCTTCTCGAATCGATGTTTTCGACTAAATGCGATGCTTTTCGACGTAAATGAAGCAGTTGCCTTCTTACACGAAATAAAAACAAGCATGAAATACTGAAGCAAGTATAATCTCTAGGGGAGTTATTAGAAAAAAGGACTAGACAGCTATTTGTACACGGCGGGGAAAGCGAACGCGAAACAAATTGTGGGAGGAGATTGTTATCCAGGTTTTAATGCACACTTATTACTGACTGATTTGTGGAACGCGATATTTGGATGTTCTCAAACTTGGAAGATAAATCTGACAGCGGCGAAGCCATGATCGAACGACAAGTTCGGGGCACCGATATATGTGATCCTAATCGCCTTTGCATCTTGACGTTCGCTAAACTAAATTAGTAAATAAAGAATTTTCAAGGATTTTCTTTGCCGTCCTGTATGCAGAAACAGAGTACTGTATTTGAAATGATGACAGTGAAACGTATTGCTGACGGATAAATGAATTTGTTCGGCGACGATATAAACCGTTAAATCATAATTTACACTAGCTGTTAGTAAAAGTTAAATTTTGCTGATCGCGTGGCTCCAAAATTCCCACGTAAACGTATTTGCTAGATCTGCTCAAAGGTTGCCGTGGGTAATATTTTCAGTTGTTCTGGAGAGTTTGGCCGTAGGCTGAGCGTTACCTTCAGCAGGTCAGCGTGGTTCCGTGTTTTCGGTAATTCAGTTAAGTAGTAAAGTATAATTTCGTTACCATTTCGGAAAACACATACGACAAGAGGAGTGAGATGTTTGTACCCGTTTGGAAGTCTGGCGACTTTCGTAACGCCGACTTTTAGCCATGTAGTACATTTGTCAACAATGTGGCGGAGCATAAATGGCGGAAACTGAATCTTTCCAACACTTAAATAACTAGGTAGATGAGGGGTTCGTCAAGTTAAAATTACTTTCCTCGACGAACCATTTATTTAAAGTGACAGCAGGCGAAATTTGCGGAGGTGTTTGCACGATTTTTATCGAAGCTTAGCACTTTGAGCGGCAAGTTATACCACCTACAAAGACATTTTCCACCTCAGCTCGCTTTGTTTTTTAAAGTTCCTCCCATCCTCAAACGAGCTTTGCCAAAGCACCCAGGCAAAAGAAAGGAGCGTATCCATAATATACGGTTTTACTACGATGAAATTTCAATTTGTTGTACAAAAAAACAACAATAGGAGTTACTTGCAAGACCACACTTCGCGCATAAAGGATTTGAGCAGTCCGCGTGGCTTGGGAGTCCGCTAACAATCCCTTGAATTGACCGCTTTGCAAGTTGTGTGATCATCCTTTTTCGGTCCCAGACCTCTTCGCCTTCCCCCCTCTGGCTTGATTCTTACAAAGACTCGTATGCATAATAATCTTTATTTGCTCGCTAAAAGTTTAGCAACTAATTAATTAAAGTTATAGCTACACTCTCACTTTTAATAGCATAAAGGCTCCTCGAGGCGATAGAGAGGTGATGTCCACTGACAGGGAGAAAAGAAATTTACAGATAAAAAAAGACTACTGAAACTAAATGAAAAACTACATATATTAATTACGAAAGAAACTGGGATGAATGAAAATTAAAATTATACCTAAATAACTGTGTTTTACAAACTTTTAAAACAATGTTCTAACTTTTTAATAAAATGAGAGGTTTTAATATACCTCTTATGTCGCTTTAGGTTATCGAGAAGTACAGTCAAGCTTGTAGCAAGCGGTGTTCCACGGGGAATGGCGTGTTGACCGCTTAATACAGATTGACCACTTATAGTAGGTTCCGCAGAACAGGATTATTATAAAGAAATGATAAAAAACGTCATTTTACCATATAATTGAACACTCAGTGTTCAAAAATAGCTCATAAATGCCACCAACATTGATTTCTGGAGATGAATATGAATAAAATTGTACTTGATAGATTTTCTTTGAGTGGTCCCGCTTCGAGTGACAATACAAACATGCCGTTGGGACTCAATAAAGGGTGACCAAGACCGTTTAAGAGAGGTGAAAATTAAAGCAGTTAAGGGGTACGAATTTCGTTACTTTGACAAACGACCCCTTGATTAGGCGTCGCTTAAGGTGCCTTCTCACGGACTTTGGATTTACTAGACGATCTAATACTGTAAGGAGGAGCGGTTCAAATTTTGGAGTAGAATCAACAGAAGTGAGCAGACACAGCCTTCCTTAATTGCCTAAACAGCAAAGCGCCTCTCTGATCGTCATTTTAACTGCTTGTTTTACTTCAGAAATTTTCCAGCAGTAAAGAAACGGGTTCAACGCCGAATTTAAGTAGATCAAAATCACTGATAAGTCCCAGATTAGAACATTAAATGATGATAAATGATTATTGAACAAAGATGTAACTATAGCAAACGGAAGATAACAAACAATTAATGCCACCTGTACCCACAGCACACTAGACACTGCGTTTGGGTACCGCGGTATATCCACTGGAATTTGCTGTCTCAGTCGCCGTTGACATAGACGATCTTGTACTTCGAATTGGTGCCGGCGAATTGTGCGGAATAACATTAGATACGAGAAGACCGTGATTATTAGACTGCAGGACATAATTATTAGGCCATACCAAAAGGTTATCATGAAAGTAACCAGGTAGGATACTGCTGCTACACTACACGCGATCCAAAAGATGAGTATAAGACCATAGGTTCTCTTCAGAGTTACCACTTGTCTGTATCTCAGGCCTAAATAGAGAGCGAGAAGTCTGTCCACGCTTATTGCACTGATGGCTAGCAGCGATACTGTTCCCAACAAGTAACCCACAATGAAAGATATGGCTGCAGAGAGTCGACAAAGGTGCCATTCACTCTGAAGGAGAGACATGAGATAGGTAACGTTGCTTGGTTCCGCAATAAGACCAACTAAAAGATCAGTCGTTGCCAGACAACGGAGCAACAGTTTAGACGGCGGATGAAGGGAACAGTCCTTACGAAGGGCGAACAGGATGAGAGCATTTCCAAGAAAGGCAACGACGGATATAATAGTATTTATCGTTATTAGATAAAATAGTTGCCCCTGTACTCCGCTTGAGGAATCCATCGTGCATCGCATCTTCTGAAATGATTCAGTTCTGGTGTAGTTAGAGTTCATCATATTAAAATATCTGCTTTGTGCAGCCTTCCAGACACCTTAACGCGTACAAGGCGTAGAAACCAAGAAAAATTTTTTATGTTGAAACCGAAAAATATGAGGTGATGGCCACGAATTCAATAAGAAAACAAATATTAAATGTTAGTTTTGTGCGTATTAAGTTTCGCTAAGAAAGGCGCTAAAAGGACAGACGAAGATGATTACTTATGAGAACAGAGCAAGCTGTTAGAAAGACTTTTTCCGACTAATTAGATAACAATCGTAGAAAAGTTATAAATCTGCGAGTCTCTTTTAAAAATTTAGAGTTTTTCGTGACAAATTTGATCGCAATCACTAAAATTTAGCATTTCCCTTGGAAACTGAAATCGGCAAAACAAAAAAGTCAAACTTTTATTTTCTTGTGTTCATATTGTTTTTAAACCAAGAAAAGTCCATTTGGACCATTTCCGTGTGTTCCATAAAGTAGTGTTTATCTTTGTCTGAGTGGTGTTTTTAACTGCACCTAAAAGGTAGCGGAATCTTTCAAGCGAAGTCGGATTAAGTTGAATCATCATACTGATATTACAATGTATAGTTGGCTAAAGAGCAGGAGCATTTCGCTTTGCGTTAAAGCTACGATATGAATGAAATTTTATCCGAATTTAGAATATTGTCTGAAATGAAACACTACTAAATCATTCTAACTGTTACTGTAATAAGCACAACAACGAAAATTAATCATGGTTTCAAAGTTACTTAATTGAAAAGGGAGTTTGTGATGAGGAGTAGATGAGTCAAGGCGGATGAGACGAATATTTGAATAACGATTTGGCGTTTCTAACAGCGGGCCAGAGAGAGGAGAAAAAATTAACTCTTTTGACTCAGTTTGAGATGCGACTTACCAGCGGTTTTCTCTTTATGGACGACGATGCTTTGTCAGGTGTCAACCTTGATCCCCGTAAGTGTATAACAAATTTTCCTATCCAACTATCGTCGGCTTTCTTCATTTCCGGCGAAGTGGGAGTTTGAATTTTTCTTTAAAAAATTATTGGGAAATTGCTGATCTTTTTAAACTCAATGGGCACTCACTCACTTGGTCAACCTTTGCCGACTGCATAGCATGTCAAAACATAAAGAATGCTCTGGTTTGTAACTAAACTACCAAAAAATGAAATAGTACCTTCTCAGAGATCTCCAAGTCCATACGACTGACTCCATTTTGTAAAAAATCAAAAACTCGTGCAGTCTCTTACTCCATCGGAAAATGAGTATTGTATCTATTATGGGCACAAATTGTTAAATTTTAGGTGAACTCGCTGAAGTCTTCAGAGGACGAATATCACTATGTGGGTGTGTAGCAAATTTTCTTATTACCAGCGATCATTTTATTCACTAAAACTAAGTTTTATTTCAAAATTTATTAAGAATTAACCCCTTTCCAGAGAATAGATACAAACAAAACTTCTGAGGAAGTCTTTGAATTTTGTTTGCTCTAATGGATAAACTTCATTGGTACGTATGATGCACGATCCTCGCAGTAGAGAGCGCCATTTATGCAATAGCGAAAATCAGACCTGAAAAAAATCAGGCCTGTACGGGATTCGAACCACTGACCTCTGCGATACTAGTGCAGCGCTCTACCAATTGAGTTAACAAGCCAACTGGCAGCAAGCCGTTAAGTCAGTGGTTCGAATCCCGTACAGGCCTGATTTTCGCTATTGCATAAATGGCGCTCTCTACTACGAGGATCGTGCATCATACGTATCTATAACCGCAGTTCAAAATATATGAACTTCATATATTCATCGTACCAAACTTCATTGGATTACATTTCTTTCAAATGTTAAAAAGAAAAGTATTTAAAAAGCATTACTACTAAACAATACTTAACATTACTCTATTAACAACAAAATCACGCTTTCTATCCATAGTTAAACTAAGTGATAATTACCTATGCTAAGTTTCGACGACGAACTTAAATGAAGCAGTTTTGACCTAATTTTCATCGATGTAACCATTGAGTCTGAATTAAAAATGGTCTGCATGAAAGCGATCCTCGCAGTAATAAACCCTTCTTATGTATTAATGGAAATAAGGCCTGAAAAAAAAAAAATAATAATAATAATCAGGCCCGTACGGGATTTGAACCCATGACCTTTGCGATACCGGTGTTCTACCAGCTAAACTAACAAGCCCACTGGGAGCTCGTCATTACGTTGGTTCGTAATAAACTCGTCGAAGTGATAAATCAATGAAATAATTTGGATATATCAACAAAGTTGAAATGGTAAATTAGCCACCGTTCGAATACATGAAAATCATATATGTATATTGCAGTTTTATGAAATGTACGAAAGCGATCCTCGCAATAGTAAACCCTATTTATGTAGTAATAGAAATGAGGCCCGACAAAAAGAAAAAATGCTCTATTTTCATAACATACAGTGAAATGTTTGCCTTGTCGTCTCCTTCACTCTGCTTTTCTAATTTCACTTATCTTCCAGCAATAAAGAATAAAGAGGGAACTCTGGTTTAACGACGAGTTAAAATAGACTAGTCTTACAGTTGTCGTCCAAGCGACAAAATACGAAGAAGAAATGTTTTCATAACTAAACAAGGTTATTACTACATTTTAATACACATAACACGAGAAATTTAAAGTGCACCTATACCCAAAAATTTGTTTTCGCTTAACGAAATAAGCTTATTTTTTGGAGTATTTCTCTGCAAAAATTTCTTAATTTGCTCAAATCTTTAATTTTCTGTGCCCAGTCAAAATACGGAAAATCGGCCGCCATCTTGCCCCACGACCGAGTTTAAAGAGGAATGGCTCTAGCGGGTAATGTGACGTCAAAATCGAGAACACGAAAATCTGCATTTCACTCATTTTCACTTGTTTGGGAAGGTTGTCGTCGATATTGTCCGAAATATGCCGACTAGGTGTGTTGTAGGAGGAATGTACGAAGCGCGGTACCCTCTTGCAAATTTCGCACGTTGCTACATCCTTCTACAACACACTTAGTCGGCATATTTTCGGACAACATCGACTACAACCTTCCCAAACAAGCGAAAATGTGTGAAATGCAGACTTTCGTGTTCTCGATTTGACGTCACATTACCCGCTAGAGCCATTCCTCTTTAAACTCGGTCGTGGGGCAAGATGGGGGCCGATTTTCCGTATTTTGACTGGGCACAGAAAATTGAAGATTTGAGCAAATAAAAGAATTTTTGCACAGAAATACTTCAAAAAATACGCTTATTTCGTTAAGCGAAAAAAAATTTTTGGGTTTAGGTGCACTTTAATCTATAAAGCTCATTTGTAGAAATCTATATACGCTTTATTTTCACATGTGAAAATAGCCTGTACAGCCAATCAGAATGGCGTACAGCTCCTTCACGTGTCGAAGTATAAACAATCAACGATAGCGTAAAGGCCTTTCCGAGCCAATCGCAATCGTGCATCGTTTACATTCAAATAGCTTTCCAGATTTGGCGGCTTTTTAGCGGCGTCACCTCTAAATTCTTTCTGCGAAAATGGCGGAGGCGGGAGAAAGCTCAAGATTTGTGTCGGTTGGTTGCTCTCTAAATGAGTATGCACAGCATCAAGAAAAAAAGAACACATTAAGCAAAACACAGAGAGATGCCTCATTGCTCAAATTTTTTTTAGTTTCATGGCACTAGCCGAGGGAGATTGAAAATATTGATGCAAAAGATCTTGACGTGTTAATCGCTAATTTTCTACTTCAAGTTCGAAAGAAAGACGGAGAACAATACGAACCTTCATCGCTCAAGTCTTTTGTTTCAAGCTTTGATCGTTATTGAAGAAAGAAAGACTATTCCTCAACCATTATGGATGGAAAGGAGTTCCAAAAGACTAAATAAGCGTTATTCGCAAGCAAAAAGGAACTAAAGAAAGAAGGGAAAGGAAATAAACCAAACGCTGCGCGTATGCTGACAGACGAAGAGATTGATATTCTGTATGGCGAAGATTTACTCGGTTGCTCTGCATCGGAGGTTCTCATTAACACTATATGGTTAAACAACACACAGTTCTTTGGATTGCGAGGTTGTCAAGAGCCCAGGGACATGAGATCGGGTGATGTTGAAAGAAACAGTGGATGGAACCGGCAACATTTCTAGAGAATCACGAAAGACAGACGAAGACACAAACAACTCGTGAATAAAACCCCGTACAAAGCACTTTCTATGACGTAATTAACTTTATATATGGAAGATAGTAAAGAACCAACACCGCCTACACCCACAATGCACTGTGAAGTACATTTCTGTATCGAGCGACATTTAGCGGTGTTTGGTTGGTTGGTTGTTCTTGGGTCCGTTGTTTTAGGTCGATCTGATGACGAGAGTAACTAATGTGCGAGCCTGCGAGCCGGAGCCGTTTTTTGCGACCCTCGAGCCTCGAGCCTCTTCTTGCGAGCCACTGTTTGTTCTATATTTTTCCATTTTCTGTCCTCACTTTATTCTAACAGTCTTTGGAGAAAGAAAGCATTTCTAGAAAGCATTTCTAGAAAGCATCTCAAGGTGAAAATCTGAAAAAATATCAAACTAGACGCTCGAGGAGCGTTCACTCGGGCTTCGTAGCGAGCGCTTTACTTGAGAATTCACCACGCGTAAAATTTATTCGCAACTACAAAGCCATAGCATTCACACAAAACACGAGTACAATAGTCCTTTTTACAGTTGTGGGCTTGGTGGCCAAGCCTTTGAACAGGAGTGAGGCTAAGGGTGACCTTGTTATGATAGAGATGTTGCTGCTTTTCAAATGCAAATTTCTTTCTTATCATGCTAACTAGATACAGGTCTCTATCACAACAGGGTCACCCTTAGCCTCACTCCTGTTCAAAGGCTTGGCCACCAAGCCCACAACTGTAAAAAGGACTATTGTACTCGTGTTTTGTGTGAATGCTATGGCTTTGTAGTTTCGAATAAATTTTACGCGTGGTGAATTCTCAAGTAAAGCGCTCGCTACGAAGCCCGAGTGAACGGTCCTCGGACGTCTAGTTTGATATTTTTTCAGATTTTCATCTTCAAATGCTTT